GCTAGAAACTTTTGTTGTTCTTCCCTATAAAGTGATATTTTAAACGTTGGTTTAAAATATGGTGTTTTTGTGAAGTAGTCAGTGTTTCTTTTTTCGTTGCTTATTATGTTGTTTATTGATATTTCTTCATCAAGAATTGTTGATTGACATATATCTAGTAATTGTAGTATATTATTGACTCGATATGCTATTCATTTGTGGGTGAAGTTGTAGCCTTTGTTTCACCGTGTAATGAAATAATATCTGAGTTTGAATGTTTCACGTATTTTTTGGATGAAATTGTGATTCGAAAAAATTTATGGGTTGGTTTAAATTCAAGTCTGACATAAAGAGATGTTGCTTTGGTCTTTATCGTACTGGTGGACTTGTTTGATAGAAAAGTTATTTAAATTTCCTGATAGTGGTTTCAGGTATTTTCGTTCCTGATTGTAAATAGGGTAAAATTTGGAGAAAAATGGTGGTTGTTTGTTTAATCTTTGAAAGAATGTTAAGGAGTTGTTTTTCGTCCTTGTGTATTTATCTTTTATATGGAGTTTGCTATTCAAAATGTTGATTGTGGGAATATTCTTAGTTATAAATGGTATGCCAATGATACTGTTTTTTATGTCTGTAATGTGAAATGTTTGTTTAAATGGTTTATTGAGTATTTTATTTTGTTTCATTGTTCTAGTGGGAACAAGGAAAAATTGGATTTTTCCGTAATTTACTAATGTTGATCCTTGTGCTGTTGCTAATTTTCTGGCGGTCTTTAAAGGTGTTAGGATTGGGTGTAACAATTTGATTTCATTTCAAGTAGGGATGTTAATAATATTTGATTCTGCTCCTGAATCAATTAAAAATCTATTTCAAGATCGGGTGGTTGAACTTCTTTACTTTTTGGGCTTTCTAAGAGAAATGGGATTGTCCAAATTTTTTCTCTTGGCCATTCTTTTTGTATATTTTGGTAAATGTGCTTTGTACTTGAGCGTTGTTTTTCGTTATTGACTACTGTATTTATTTCGTTTACATTCTGTTCAATTGATATATCGTTTCTTGTGGGTCTAGTATAGTAGTATAGTGGTTTACCAGAGCTGTTATTACTATGTATTTTTTTGTTTGGTAAATTTTGATCCTTTTTCATGTGTTGGTAGAATGGTTTGTTTGGTTTCTTTGTACTTTTGTGGTTTATTTTGGTTATCTTGTTGTTTCTGTCTACATTTGGCAATGCTATGTCCGTATCTTCGACAATAATTACACCATTTCTTGAAAGATAGTTTACCTTTTGAATTGGGATTTTTCTTATATATGTTCAAAATTTCAGTGATTTTTTCAGTTAGGTCTACATCTGAATACCTAATCAGCTAAAATAAACAACATCTGAATCGTGTATGTTGTTTATTTGTGTGGTATTTGTTTCGATTCTATTAACGTATTGTAGTTTAAGATTTTCCGTTTCTTCAAGTTTCATTGTGATTTCTGCTTGTTCTAATTTGTCGACTAGTTTTCTGAAATCTAAATCTGGTTCTCGAATTGATGAGGGATGTGATGCTTTCTTTTTTATAGCTATTTTTCTGACTTGGGGTGTTAGAGTCATCATTAAAATTTCTGTCATTTTCGTGTTTTTATAATCATGAGTGTTTAGTGAACATGCTTTTCGAACTAGTGTTTCGATTCTAACTGCCAATTGTTTAATTGTTTCGTTTGGTAGTCTGCGAATTTCATTGCATAAAACTCTTTGGTGTTGTTTATTTTTTTCAGAATCAAACATTTTTGAAATATCTTATGTAAATTTTTTCCAATTTGTTTTTATATCTATTGGTAAAACTGAAAATCATTTCTGAGCTGTGCCATCAAGTGCTGTTTGAATTAACGCTGTGCGTCTATGTATCCAATTTTGATGGAGTGGTGTATTAATTGGTTCAGGTCCGATATTTAAAATTAAATTTGCTGTGACTGCATTTAAATAGTCTTCTACAGAATATTCAGGGTCTGTGCCTGTGAATACCATTAGTGGTTTATTTGATGTTATTGATGATCCACCCATGAGGTATGGATTCATAGTCATTTGTAGTGATTCTGCGGCATTTGGCATTTGTAAAAAATTTGTCAGTTGGTTTTTTGTTATCTCATGTTGTTGCAAATAATATGGTAGTGGTATTTCGTTTTGCATTTGCGTTGGTTTATAATAATCAGTATTTGCTGGATTTTGTGATTAAAAGTTATTATTTTGAGGTGCGTAATTTGATCTAGGTTGTCGCATGTGTTGTTCTCGTGTGAATGGTTCAAAAATATCTGGTTGATTTACGTGATAAGATTGGAGTCTTTGGTTTTGAAAATTTTGTTGATGGTTTTGGTCATGAAATTCGTCATCATCTGATGAATGATAATTAGAGGTATAGTAAGGTGTTTTTTGTTTATATTGATATGGTTTTTTACGATTTTTATTCTGTTGAAAAAATGGATAATTTTCACTTGGGTCTGTTGGAATACGTAGGTTATCATTAAAATTTACGAAATTTGATGTGTGTTGTTGGGGATTTTGTCGTTGTGAAAATCAACGATTTTGCTGATTTGTACGAAGAGGTTTAGATGTTTGCGATCTATTTACTTAATTATAATTGTGTTCTGCAAAATTACTTCTGGTGAATATTCTTTGTTTTTGCGGTGGTTTCGTCATTGGTCTAAATGTTTGGTAATCCATATGTGAATATTTTGGAGCAACCGAGGGTTTAACTGTAGATTGTAATGGTACTTGGGGTAACATTGAAGTCTTTGGTTTTGACGTTGTAAGATTTGGATGTATTGGTGAAATACTCTGTTGTGTGTTTGTTACAATTGTTTCAACTATTTTTTCATTTATAAAATGTGATGTTGTTTGAATATCTTGTTGTGTAAGATTTCTAGTTCCATTTAAATTTTCTTGTTGTACAAAAGTTGAATTTGAACTATTATTTTGTCGTCTATCAGGTAAAAATGAATTATAGTTTAAAGATGTTGCATCTATTGTTAGTGGGATTACTTTTATATAATCTTTGTGGATAGTTATTGTACTGATTGCTTGACTTGAGATGTCTATTGGAATGTTCAGACATAATGGTTGAGACCATTCAGGGTCCCAAACGTAATCTGATTGTTCGGCATATCAGCTAAGCATTCCACGCTGCCCTATGATTTAGTCATTTGTTTGAGGATTCTACCACAAAATATCAAAGAAAAGTGCCTTGTTGCGGATAACAGTACAAAACCAATTACAGCTTGACGTATTGCAGAATACGCCTTCCATTCACATCTGCTCAGTTCGGCTTCCTAAAGAACTGGCCATCCTTGTTGTTCCGACCACTTGAAAAATGTAGAGGAACTTTGAATTCGGGTGTGTTTTAGTTCTTCTTTTTCTATTTTCCACACGAAACCAGGTACCACAAATACTCATCGGAATTGATGCGAACAATTATTGTGAAAAATCCAAAAAAAATCCGCTGTTGAGAAAAATTAGTTGAAATTTTTTGATTTTTGTCTAATTTCGAGCGAGTAAAGCAAGCGAGCAACCTTTTGTATGATTAATTTAGACAGTTTGCAATAGTTTATTTAAGCTGAAATTCAGTTTTACGAATTTTATTTGTTTTTTTTTGAATTTTACTTGTTTTTTGATTCGATTTTCTTCAAAATCTGCTGTCCAGTTTGCCTGTTTTTCGATGACTGTCAATTATGCCTACATTAGAGTTTTCAGATGCTTTTATTGCAGCACGCAGAAAAAACTACACTAATTAGAAAGAAAAAAGTTCGTGTTTGTTAAGACTATGGTCAAAACATTCTGTGATACTGGCTTAGTAACTGGCTATATTTGTTCACGTTTAATTGAATTGAACTTTGTACATTTTTATTCGGCGTAATCTTTTAAATTGTCGAACCACTGTAATTTGCAAACATGATGTAAACAACATGATGTATAACCACCGTGTTTTTGTAGTTCACTTTTTTCTCATTGTAAGATTTTTAAAATTTACGCACATATTGAAGAAAGTATAGAAACTTAACAAAAACGCTGGTTTCATTCTACAAATCTTCTACATTAGTTGAGCAAGAAAAAAATTTCTTGATCATTCAAGTGTCTCATTTTTTTTAGCTTTAAAAAGTGTCGTTCTTTTAGAAGCTATTCGCAAATATTCCAAAACGCCTTGGCAAAATTGATTGTCGTTAAAACTTTTAGCGTAAAAAACCTATTCGACGGTCAAATACAGTCGAAATAATCTTTTTTCTTAATCGAAAATATATCTGGATTGAACTCAGTCGAAACGTTTTCTCCATTAAACACAGACGATAAGTTTTATCTCAGTCGACATTCGTCTCGGTTGAAAAAACTCCCTGTACAAACTCATTCGAAAATTTTTGCCTGGGTCGAATTTGGTCGAAATGTTTTTCCTTTGTCGAGCGTAGTCGAAACATAGACAGTTAGAGTCGAGTCGATCGAAACATAACAATTTTTGGTCAAGTCGATCACAAACCATAGGTGACTTCTTTAAACATAAATCTTCAGTGCAGTTTAACATCTTCAATGAAGAAAAGAAAAAAGCCACAGCATAGTTCATCTAAATTTGCCTTGAGAAAAATTGGAATTTGTCTTCGAATCTCGGAAAACCTTTATAAATGTAGCGAGGGATGGGTTTCGGGGTCGGGTGTTTGTTGTGTACGCTCTTCCTCCTTCAGCGTTTCGACCCCTCACCGCCGAAAGAGTACCCCCTTTAGTATTATTTTATTATTTTATGACATCAATTTTTGGTCGACTGAACCTAATTTTGTCCAAAGGCGCCTTTGGCGCCAATATATACTAATTTTGAAAGGAAAGGGGCGCCAAAACACGCAATTTTTTGGTCGAAATTTTCAGAAAAGTGCCCAAAAACTGCTTTTTGACCTGTTTTTTTTTCTTCTAAATTTGCCTGCGGAGCCTGTTAGCCTGTTTGTTTTGATAGCCTGTTTGTTTTGTTATCTGGCTCAAAAGTACTGATTAAACTAATTTATTAGGTTTGAATGTTTTAAGGCTCATGAAATACATCTGAAGAAAGTTTTCAAGATTTGGCAATGAAAGAATAGTCATCGATTCATTATCATTATTATGAATAAATTATTGCACTTATAAATATGTAAATTGTACAATGCAGCATAAAAATAAGGTAACGTCGATTCAGTTAAGAAAGATTCTTTGATTTATTTCTTCATTTTAAGGCGACTGACTTCCATTGGCGTTGTGCGAAGCGTTAGTCAGTTGCGAAAGTAGCGCTAGTTGTGCCGCTGTTGCCGGCGTCAACGGGACGCCCGCTTGGGCTCCGGGGATCATCAAATGATGATTTTCGGATCCGTTCGCCGAAAGAGAATGATGGTGTTGCTGCATCATTGCACCGCCAGACCCCGCGGCCGAGTGCATTCCGGCGCTATATATAGCCTGGATCTCTAACAGTTGTTGTGGGGTCATACCTCCCGCCTGCATTCCGCCGGCATGTTGCGGCATAGCAGAGGCGGCGCTGTGAGCAACAGAGGCATGCATGGCAGCTGTCGGGACACCTCCGCCACCCGGGTGTTGATTGTGGCCCTGCTGGTGGTGTAGCGCGGCTGCCAGAGCGAGTTGCTGCTGTTGCTGATGTTGTTGTTGCAGTGCTGCTATCGCGAGGTTCTGTTGCAACATCAGAGCGGCCGCCGCAGTCATTTGGTTGAGGTTTTGACCTGGGTACATGTAGTTGCCATGCATTCCCCCTAGAGCCGCACCGTGCATTCTGAAAACAAAATATGCATCATTAGATTTCTGCTACTAATCAAAATCTGAGTTTTAAGATTGTCCTTTAAATTGCATGCATACAGGGGCGGATTTAGGGAGGGGGCGGGGGGTGGACGAACTCCCCCCTCAGGGATTCGACCCCCTGCCGACCCGAAGGGTCCCCCATTGTACTATTTTGAGATATCCATTTTTGGTGATGGACCCTAAAGTTTTTCTAAATGCGCCTTTGACGCCAAAATATACTAATTTTGAGGGGGAGCGCGCGCCGAAAAAATGTGATTTTTTGGTCAAAATTTTCCAAAAAGTGCTTAAAAACGCCTTTTTTGGCCAATTTTTTCAAAATTTTGCCTGCGGCACAGAAAATTTGGTCAAAACAGGGACTTTTTAGTACTTTGGGAGAGCTCGAAAAATCAATTTGGTCGACATAAAAAAAGGTCGACAAAATTTTTGAAATTTTTTGAAAATCCACCCCCTTGAGAAAATCATAGATCCGCCCCTGCATGCATACCACCTTTGGCTTTGACCCAGTTTACATTCACATGTTTTAAAAAGAGCAGGTGAGTCCACAAATGGGCAATTTGTTCCAAATTTCTCAGGCGCGGATTTTGGCTGTCCTCGAACCACCGACCTTCGACTGCGTGAAGAAGAAGTTGCCAAGTTCACTGCCGCTTTTAATAAAATCTCGTCAGTTGTGGTCTGGAGCTGATGAAGATTATCTTACCCAATATGGTGGCCATGATGCCCCAGAAGTCCAGGAGAAGTTGGAGTGATTGCACCCGGTCTCAGACCCAGAGCCGCCAAGTTAGTGTTGCCTACAGACAAACAAAACAACATTTATGACGTCATAGAAGCAAACTAGAACATAAATCTCTACATACTTCAATTATGTCTACTGTGAATGTTAAAAGCCAATTCATAAGTTTTGTCATAAAGCGATTTTTTTTGTTTCATTTTTTTAAGCGTTTGTCTTTCATTTTTTTTCGATACTGTTAGGTCTTCAGGACTGAACAAAAGCACTTTATTTGACATTAATTGCACAATCAAAACAACCATAGTTTTTATTGCTCAAACAAAACACGAAAACAAAATATTCACATTTCAACACATCAAATCAATTTTATCATCAGCACAAAGACATTATCGTGTGAAGTGATATTAGCATGAAAAGAAGCTATCACAACCACTACAAAAAACTTTATTTTTGGCTGAAATGTCCTATGAATTATGAAGTTTTTTCACAAAAAGAAAATAAAATGCCTCTTTTCAAAGAAATAGCGCAGTGTATTTCCTAGTTTAATTTATGAATTTGCCCGTACTGTTTTTCAACCGGTAGTAAATATCTTCAGCGAAAAATGTGCCGGCTTAATTTTTGGAAAAGCTTGGCTCTGTCAAAATCAGGTGTTTGAGATTAGCCTGGTGCCTGAATATTTTAGACGTCCCCGAAAAGTCCCTCTGAAACAACTCTGTTCCCGATAAAACCTCATGTGAACAATTTCAGACCACGTAGAAGTATTAAATGCAAGTGGTTTCTTGCGGTGCAACGTTTCGCCATTGATCCCGTAAATTCCATTCAAAATACCAGAAGTTGAAATCCAGTTTTAGGGGTCGAAAAGCGGTGCAAAGCAAAGCCAACCGTCTTCTTTTCCGAGACAACTTTCCCTAATTTGAACGACTGCTTACTTAATGAATAGTTTTTCACTCAAGCAGCATTTAATCATCTAGAGCTTGTTTTTTTTTTTGGGGGGGGGGAGTGGTGGGAGAGGGATGGTAAGTGCTTGGCTAATGCATCCATACCCTGACCAACCCACCAAACACATAGTATTTTCTGATTTTCTGCTAACTTTTATAAGCCATCAACCCCCCCCCCCCCCCCCCCCCACTACTATCCCCCAATCCGATCGATCACCGTTGCCCCATCTTGACAAAAAAAAGACATAAACTTGTTCTCAAATATGTGCATAACTCGCAGCACTAAATATGGACCCATACTTGTCTACTCTCAAAAACTAATGTGACAACTAGTTTTTTGAGGTTTTTGGATCACGTTAACAAAAAAGAGAGGCGATTTATTTTGAGTCAACTGATTTGCTCATGTTTTAAACAGCAGGTGAGTCCACAAATGTGCAACCAAAACAGTAGAACAAATGGGAAGTTCTAATTAAGGGGGAAATGATTGGAAGACTTGTTATGGTTTATTGTTTGTTAATTTGATCCAAAACTCTCTCTCTTTTCCAACAAACAGAGCATTAATGCAAAAAAGACTCGGTGTATTAAATAAAAAACAGCAGCCGAATAAATTGACACAATAGAAAAATTAAGCACGAAGTTTGTTAAAATGGCTGTGATTAAATAAGTCAAATCAGTACAATTCAATCAAAACAAGGTCAAATTACATCAACAAAACCAACCAACTCATCAACATTAACTCTCAAGAAATCTCTCAAAGGTCAAGTCAAGTTCAAAGAGCACTTCACTTTATTTACCTCTTGCAAAATTGATTGCACAACTGTTACGTCAAACCTGTTCAATATAAAAAATTAACTTATTCCTCATTTTTCATCAAAGTTTATTTTTTTTTCGAGTAAAAAGACAATAGTTTGAAGCTTGCTTTAGTTATCATTTTTTTGATAATCATGAAAGTTATTTTTCATTCTGACTTTTCTTGCTTCAGAGATTAAATCTGGAAAATGACTTAACAACTGTTGTTAATGATCTCAAAATAGAAAGTAAGACTTAGTTAGTAATGGAACTGTGACTTTGAGGCCTTACTTCCCGAGAAGCTGCTGCTTCGTGGCTTCTGGCCCAGAAAAGCCAAGTTCACATTTGCCTTTCGGCCGTCAATGTAGGGGTTCGGATCCTTGCACGCTTCATCCGCTCCCTTCCGATCTTTCAAGGTCACCTAAAACGGATCAAATCAGATGGATCAATATCGCTCGATTTTTGCACGCAAGATGATCATTTAAAATTGTTTTTCCATGAGGGTTTTTGATCTTATTTCTCTACCATTCTTCTGCTGATCTGATTTTGTTGTGATCATCGGAACTTTGAAGACCCATTTTGATGTTTAATATGAAAGAGAGAGAGAGAGAGAGAGAGAGAGAGAGAGAACTAATATTTCAACTTATGTCATTGTAATACTACAGAACGAATAGAGATGAAGGGGCCTTACGAATCCGAATCCCTTGCTTTTCCCCGTCTCCTTGTCGAAGATGACAGCTGCCTCCTCTATCTCTCCGAACTGCTCGAAGTGTTTCTTCAGAGTGTCCGTTGTCGTGCTCCACGGAAGACCCCCCACGAACAACTTCCGCAGCTTCAGTTCCTCTCCTGGTTAAAACAGACCAACGCTTTAAAGCTTCAAATAGCATCTTAAAACCAAACAGAACAAGAAAAAAGTCAACTCTCGCAGCTAATAATGATAAAAATCACAATAATATTCATAATAATAATTTATTTTCAGCTTACAAATAAACAGATACAATTTTTTCTACATTTTGTAACTATCTCAAGCCTGAGAGAAAGTCATTGGACCAGTGGTCCGTTTTTAAACGAAACAAAAATAAGTGAAAATAAAGTTAGGGTAATCATAATAATTTGATATAAACACTAAGCCTACCCTTTAATTTTCTTTGTAAAAGCTCAGAAACAAAATTTTCCGAAAGCAGGAAAATGACCCCGTTTAACTAAAAAACCATTGAAACCTGCAAAAGCAATTCGAAGTTGTAAATTTATAGAATTGATTAACTCATTGGCGTTGAATTGCTACGCCAGTATCATAACAGTACTTGTTTTTTAAAAACAGATCTTCATATTTAAATATCAAAGAATAGTCACTGAGTTATGAAGGAGCGAATTTGGCAATTCAAACATTTCAGATGGTTGAGCCAATTTGCAAGAGTAAGGACCGATCTTAGGTTGTAGATTAAACGTCCCTCATTTGTTAAATAAAAAAGCATTATCGTTTAAGGATTCGGGATTCTAGACAATATTACCTGGAGTGGGTGAATCGGACAGACTCGGAATGTAGCCGAGAGACGAGAGAGAGTTCGTGCTAGTCGATAGAGAACTCGTGGAAACCATGTTTAAACTCAGCGTTTCTTCGTTTTTTTTCTGATCAAAGTTGTCAGATCAGAAATTCGGCTCAAATAAAGAAAAACAAAACTGATTTAATATTTTTGGCTAAGAGTTGCAATCGATCGCTCCTGATATGAACAATAATAGCTGTATCAAATTATTTTCAAAGTCTGAGAAAATATAAAAAACTAATTGCATCAATTTTCCAGATGAATATATTAGCTTAGATTAGGCTTGCTGAAAATAAGTTGGTGTATTTTTTGTGTAGAACAGAAACCAAGTTTCAGATTTTTGGTTTTGTTTCTGTAATGAAGCTTTTATTACACACTCAAAATGGCTCAAGACGCGTTACAAGTCTGTAAGACGAGACTTGGCTGAAAAATCTTTTAATTGAGAATATATGAACAGTTTTGGTGTATTTTGCTGGTCCGAATGATGAGCAAGTACTTTGTACTGTGATTTAAAGTACTGCAAAAATGGTTTATGAAGAGTAGTTAATAATTGAGAAGGTAAACAGATGAATCTCGAAAAATGCTCGCAACTAAAAAGATTTTTCAACTGGTTTTAAAGCGAAAGAGCGAAAAAGCCTCTCATTTATAATTAGAAAAAGCAGATGCCACAAAAAAAGTACGAAAAATGGAAACAAATCGAAACCGAAATGCAGGTGGGATAATGAATAAATTATTGAGAAAATAAAAAAACAATAAACAGCGGAAAAGTAAAACGAAATAGAATTGAAATTAACTGTTCAATATTTTAGTATGGACTATAAATTTCACTTTTTATCATTTTCTTATATATCCGAAATATCAAGATACTATGGCCAATATTTAATGGAAAGTGAGCTGACCAGAATTCATTTGGCGGTTTACAAAATCCCAAAGTTAACAGCAGTTTAATTAAAAAGGACCCTCAAATCTGGGAATTATGAATGCTCTAAACTAGCCAATACTACGTAGAGGTAAACAGCATGCTGGCTCGTTTGATCATTGCTTTAATATAGTTTCGATTTTCCAAGTTTCGGACTAAATTACTCGAGTTTTTCGGGCGCGAGTTTTGTTAAAAGGGTCACTTTTAGACCGGGCTAAACTTGATAGATCTGAGTTTACAATACTTTATAAACAAGCTCACTTTACTAGTTGGGAAAATGACATTTATGAAAGGGCGCTGGTAAACATGGGAATGGAAAGAACTAGGAATAAGTTTATTAGTAATGCAAGCTAGGTTTTAGCAGCCACTAAACTGGAACTATTACCACAAAAAACACCACCTCCGAAGCGCCATGTTTTAAAGACCACGATTGCGAATAAAAGAAACCATTCTAAGAGTATTTGTGCTATTCTATGAGAAGTTTAGCTAGAAAATGTATAAAATAATCAAAGGTAAAACACGTTTTCGAAACAAGATCCAATCGCCAAGAAACTCTTGCAAGTTTGGGTTAGTTTAATTCCCAGCTTCGTCAAAAGAGTCCGGGGATTCCAAGCGAACATGTGAAGTATAAAGAAACAGGGGATTTAAGCGTCATGGCCCTCAGGGTAGTCCTCGTGACTAGCGCTGCTATTACCTCGCTTGGACTTCACAATTTCTCTCGTTTTTGTAATTTCGTCATTTCAATCTAGTTTCCCAGTTTTGGTGTTTTTGAGTACAAACTGAACAACTTTGTTCTAGAGTTTCCCGCTGTTCAACTCATGTTTCGCACAGCAATCAATTCGATTTACAGGTAACTCGAGATATGCTGGGCAACCTAAAATTTGAAATAAAATTCATGAAAATAATTGAAAGCCTTTTAGAGTAATTTGAAAGTACCTTAAAAATTAGGCAAAAAAGGAAACAAAATTCAGCTAAGGCAAAAGAAATTATCAAATAATTGAATTGAAACTGAAAATACAGGCCGGCGTTGCTTTTAAATTTTCAGATCAGAATTAATTAATACACAAAAAATTGGTGGGATGCTTGCCAATGGATTTTTTAAAACGGTTAACAGCAAGTACTTGAATGATGAGGAAGAAAAGGAATATGAAAAAGTGATAAAAATGCGGGCTAAATTGGGCTGAAAATGCCTTTGAGTTATGCAGACCATTCTTTTCTTCTCTTTTTGCGGCTATTAGTGCTGAAGTTGGGGGAGGACTCAATTCGAAGTGATTTTTGAGTATAGTTGCTTCCAGATAGAAAGGCAAGAGGGAGGATGCGTTTATAACAAAGCCAATCAGTCAGAATTACATCCTTTGTTTAACCAGATTATTAAATCAGAGCAGCACTTAAATGGAGACCTTCTTTGCCCAAGTTAAGAGTTCTTAGTGCTTCAGAAAAGTAGATGTTTGACTTCGCAAACTAGTAGTTGATTTGGAAAAAGTCTCTTACCATTATTGGCCAGGTTTTTGAACAAAAACGCCAACAATCAACAAAGACTAGACAATACTTTTTGGTTTTAATTCTCCGAACAGTCGCGGATGTAGAATTTTGTCAAGGGAGGAGGGTTTAAAAAAGTTAACATAGTTTTTTTTAAGGTCGACCGAGTTGATTTTTCCCGCTTTCTTTGCACTACTAGAAAACTCCTTTTTCTCAAAAAACAATTTGCCTCCCTAGCAAATTTATAGGAATGCCAAATACCTCTTGTGATCACGTTTGGAAGGTTTTAACAGAAAATAGCGTTTTAACAAAAATGAATGTCGTGGAACTAACAAAAGGGTCTCTTCAAATGAACATCCACAATATCCATGTTAACTGTGCAAGATCTTCTGTCACGCGACATATAAATTGCAATTGTTATTCTTCAAGCAATGACATGAACCCATGTTTGCCGTTTTCTCTATAACTAATAGAGTTTTAAGGTTGCAGTTTTTAGTTATAATGGATCAAACAAATTTTAAGAATAAAGCCGATTAAAAACTGTAAAAAGTTGTTTCCAGGCGTTTTTTGGCCCTTTAATCAGAGGGAGTCAGATAGATATTCTAAATGCCAAATGATACCAAAAAACTACTCAGCTACGAAATAAATTTGACTCAGATTTCGGAATTTTAATAAGCAAATTACTGATTTTTCATTCATCTTCTGTATAAAAGCATATTAAAATATTTATTTTCATGTGATAAAAACTTACATGAGGATATAGCTTAGATCTTTAGCTGTCTAGAGCTGTCTAGTTGAAAGTTTCAAACTGCTTCTCATGTTTACGGGTACACTTTGGCACTAAGAACACCTCTCTGACGCCCTTTTGATTAAATTGCCAATTGACGCCTTGCAAAAAAATTTAGCGGTTTTTTGTTCAGACATATTCTCAAAAACAGTTTCATTCATCAAATGTTACATATTCTAACCTTAATCTCTGCTAACAGTAGAGAAAACAATTTCTGTTCATTCATTGCTTGATTACTAAAAGTTGCATTTTCTATATCCTGTGACTGTACAACTCCATTATATAACAACAACAATCTCCTTATTGTGATTGTACATTTTCAACAATTTTTAAGACAATTTTTTTGTTCTTCAGTGACCCAAGCCATTTTTCTCTGTTACGAGGCCTAAGTTAATTTTGGACCGGCATATTTTTGATATGATTTGATGCATGAAAAGTTAATTTTTGGTAGCAAAAGAAAAAGACTCAATCTTTGTTTTAGAAGAGTCTACATATAATCTACAATCTACAAGTTAGGAAATATCTAAAAAAACAAACGGGTTGGTGGCGGTATCTGGTGATAAGAGAATTGAGTTATTGCCATGAAAAAATGCACATATGCAGCACAATCAACCCATTTACTAAAATCAGGTCAGTTTGCAGACCTGAGCGTTTGAGTGATTCAGTTTTTCTAAAAACTGAAGAAAAAAACCTTGAAAAAAGAACTACTAGTCTTGAACAAAGGGATGAAGTTACAGATGGGTTATATGCAAGATTGCGCTCAACTGGTTGTCAGCCGGCACGACTTTAAGCTGAAGTACGTGAAAATGATACACTACTGTGACATGTACTCTCTCTCCTTGGAAGTTCTTCTGAGAAACTGAATAAAACATTAGCCAGATAATTTGATTAAATCGAAGGTGCAATCATCATTGAGACCAACACTGAAGCAGCTTGGGATATAATAGAGAAAACCAAATTAGACTCTGAAGGGAGTATCAGCTCCTTGTACGTGAAAAGCCTGTACACCACAATTGTTCCACTTGGGGAGGACCAGGAAATCGCCCGTGAAAAAAAATATTAGACAGGGTGAGCCACCTCATGTGCGAAGAAGTACAATCAAACGCTTTTGGTACTTGGCTGTTAGTAATGTCTTTCTTAAAAACTTTGCGCAGAAGGATCGATTGGCCATGATTGCATCCTTGGCAGTCATTCTGCCAGACTTTTGGTTGAAACACTATGAGAAAATTCTGGCTACGGACATGCCTCAAAAAATTGATATGCTAGAAAACATGAACGGAAAAAGCCCAAATAGCAGGGCTATATCCAGAACCAATTTAGGATTGTTGGAAATGATATCATAAAAATCTTGGATGAGGAAAATAAAGGCATATTAGAAAAATTTTGGTTCTGCATGTTGTGCAATGAGAGGCGTGAATGTGAGCTGACCCTAACAGGTTAGAAGCTTTTCCTAGGATAAATAGACGAGATAGTGAGGACTGTAAAAGGCTACTCGAGCGTGTTATTGCATACGGCCATCAAATTGCACCCCAGTTTACACTTCACAGTTGAAACAACTATTGAGAAAAAAGATTTTGCTTTCATAGAAATAAATATGATTGTAGATGGCAACAAGCAGGTTAAATGTGGGATGTGCCAAAAACCAACGTCACTCTTCTTTATCTCAGAAAATTTGCACAACTGCATCATAAGAGAAAAATTGCAGAGGGTAAGTTGCGCAGGGTTTTTAGGAGCACATCTACATGGGAGCTTTGACCCTAAACACTGTTGATCAACAGACAGCGATGGAAGGAAAATCGGTATCCAGAAGGTTGATCATCCAACGTTGAGCCGGGAACACTAAGCTAAACTCTTGGGGCATAATCAAGACCAACTAAGAGCAAACCTCGGCAACAAATGACAAGTGAGACGAGAAGCGCCCAATGCTCATGCTTCAACAACGGAAAAATCAGAGCCAATTGTTAGCAAACAAGGTGCGCAAAATCATCAATGTAAAATTGGTATCTGAGACCCAGAAATTGAAAACCACTCCCTCTTCACTTAAGTCGTCATTTTTGCGTATTCTTAAATCCAATGTGATCCACAAACTATTTTGCTCTGCATGTAATTCCACCTATGTTTGACAAACTGTTCGACATTTGGCCACAAGGATTGAGGAATATAAGAAAACGGACACGCTTGTAAGAATACATTTATGTCACCATGGGGAGAAAGCTACCACTAAAAAATTGAGTTCAGAAAAAAGATTAAAAATGAAGGTAAACGACGTCGTTGGCGTTTTGAACTGATATTAGAAAGGAAATTTGGAGAATAAAAAATTATTTTTAAAACTTTGATTTGGACACGCATGATTTTTTTCGTAACAATTTTTTTGATGTATTTGAAACGCGCGAAGGGCAGTACGGTGATTTTTGCTTGTCAGAACAAGACGAGATATTGCACTAAGAAGACACGAAATTACCACTTACAATCGACTGATTATTGAAGCAAAGAAGCCGTACGAGTTGTAATTTTTGTCCAGCTACAATCGCTACTAGCCCTATTTCACTGATCGGGAAGGTCGAGATCAGGAATTACAACCCTACCGTGAAGTGAAGAAGGCACTTCTTCGGCGAAGTTGAAGAAAACGTAATCTTCACGAGTTGTGCTCCAAAACTTTACTTTTAGCAATTTCTAGCTTCCTGGAAAGGTTTGAATTTAATTGTTTAAGATCCAAGTTCATTTTCAGGAAATGATAAGCTACGATATAGGAAAAAAAGCCGGTTCATCTCCCGTTGATGGGGTGATTTTATCTAGTGTACAAAAAATAGTAAAATTGTAACGTAGTAATGATAGAGTAGCAGCCTTGCTTTTAGGAGTGACCTCTTGGTATGCGGATACTGACACCCAGCCATGAGCTCACTAATTTTGCATGTACTTAATTTAATTTGGGTGGTTTGCCTGATAACTTTTGAACAGTAACAATTGTGTCGACCCAATGTTAGGGGAACCACATTTAAATTACTATGGTAGAGACGGTCAAAAGCACGTAAAGCCAATCGGTTTAGGATTTA